ATTCCCAATGGCTCTTCATTTAGTTCAGAGGGGGTTAGCTAAATTAACAAGTCAAGAAAAGATGGAAGAAGTAAGAAGAGAGGGTTCTGGAAGGAGTGGGCAGAGAAAGAAGAGAGAGAGAGAGAGAGAGAGAGAGAGAGAGAGAGAGAGAGAGACTACTTTTAGGATTTGTTTATTCAGTGTGTGTGTGTGTGTGTGTGTGTGTGTGTGTGTGTGTGTATGTGTGCGCGCGTGCACATGCACACCAAGCCATGTGTTCTGGAGGACACAGCCACTTGCAGGAGTCAGTTCTCCCTAGCTATGTGGGTCACAGAGACCAAACACAAATTGTCAAGTTTGACTGCAAGCACCTTTACTGCTGAGCCATCTCACTGGCCCCACACCGCTTTTTGAAACAAACGCCAATGGACTTGTAGCAAAGATTTTCAGAGTGTTCCCAAATTCTCACATTTGGACTCCAGCAATACCTGCAACCTGTCACAAGGAGACACGTCATGTCTAGTATCTAAGCAGGCCTCCCCTAGCCTCACATGAGAACCTGAAACACTCGGCTTCCCTCTCAGGTCCCTCTTTCTACCCCTGTGAGAAGTATCTATGAAATTCCGATATTTAGAAACAAAGGCTTTTCACTTCCAGATTTTTAGCCATGACAGAACAGGCTGCATGTATGCATGTGTGCAAAATTCAGAGGCAAAGGAACTGACAGTGTTCACTGATCTTTTCAAACCCCATTCTGCGGCTGTGGGAATGACAGTACTTGGAGGAGACTCTCAGTAACTTCAAGGAGCAGGGAGACGTCTCGACAGTGCCGCCATCAGCGTCCCTTCCTTCCATCTTAAATGCCAGCTATGAAACGCTGCCACTTACACCAGTGCTCCATATGTTCAATAAAGGCAGAAAGATAAGCAGCCCTGACCTGCTTGGAAAGAGCAAAGTTACAGCTGGTTGCTGCCGGTAGTTTCTTAGCTGGTCTACAGTTCTAAGACGAGAGCTCCCGGAATGGAGACGGAATCTAGGTGTGGATGGGAAACCTCCTCGAGCACCCCTGCAGGCCGCCCACTCTGCAGGGGTGAGATCCAGGACACTGCTGACATGGGCTCGAGGGACTTTTATAAAGGTCGCTGCTCTCATAAGGGACTGCACGGCACCACAGTTTCTCCGTGCTAATAAAGCTATCTCAACACTCTCGCTTATTAACCCACATGCACCCTTCCTCAAGACTCTCAAGGAGTAGGTGGCTTCCTTGGGAGGTTTAATGTAACAATACATACCATGTAGTCTGCGTTGCTCCAAACCAGACACCATCCTGAGAATACTGTCCCCTTTAATACTAACATGTAAGGCTAGATATTACAAATCGCACTTTGTAGATTGTGGAAGTTGAGCTGTGCTAACTGGCTTTCATTTTCAACCTGACATAGCCTGGAGTCTGTTGCTATGATAAAAACACTCTAACCCAGTGGTTCTCAACCTTCCTAATGCTGCGACCCTTTAATACAGTTCCTCATATTGCGGTGACCCTCGACCATAAAATTATTTGAGTTGCTACTTCTTAACTGTGATTTTGCTACTATTATAAATTGTAGTGTAAATAGCTATATTTTCCAATGGTGTTTGGGGGATCAAGAACCATAGCAAAAGCTCCTTAGGGAGGAAAGGGTTTACTTCAGCTTACACTTCCAGATGACAGTCCCTCACTCGGGGAAGTCAGAGCAGGAACTGATGCAGAAACCATGGAGGGATGCTGCTCGCTGGCTCACTCACACTCTCTGTTATATAGCCTATACTTACTTGCCTGAGGGATGGGGCCACCCACAGTGGGCTGGGCCCTCCCTACTGATCATTAATCAAAACACTATTTCAGAGACAAGGCCACAAGTCAATGTGATCTGGGCAATCCCTCAATTGAGGTTTCCTTTTCCCAAGTGATCCATGGTAGTGTCAATTGGATAATAAATAATAATAATTCCCTAACCAACACAAAGTTTATTTTAAAATGACCACTTAATTGAGGGTGATACTGCTGGCAAGAAGTTTATGATCTGCACTTCTGAAACTTCTGTCTCTAACCAGATTCCACGCTTTGCAGAAAACAGGATGGGTGTGAAGCTAAGGAGAGTCGGATTTGTGCTCAGTAGCCTTCCCACAGCTAGTGTTGTGACTGCTTTCTCCCTCTCTCCTGTGGCAACAGCCCTCTCTCCTCTGCCATTCCCTGGGGGCTGAAGTCACCACCAGTACCCATCGCTGAGCTCTGGTGAGTTCACTTCTCTGGACTTCACTTCCTCACCCATCCGTTCCAGGTTGGGAAGGAGGAAGGCAAAGGGCAGAGTTATGACAGCACCATTGGGAGGTGGTGGGAGATTGGGCCTCATCGTAGGAAGGAGGTCGGGGTGCCCATTTCTTTCTGTCTCCTAGCTGCCACGAAGTAAGCAGCCTTCCTTGAGCACATGGTCTTGCTGGCCGCCATGTTACCCTTCTCCTTGGGTGTGAAAGCGGTGGGACAAATGAACTGCGGCTGACACCTCTGACACCGTGAGCCAAAAGCCACTGTCTTCCTCTCAGTTATTTTTCTAGGGTCTTTTACCACAATCATATGCCAGACATAACGTTCACATGAAAAGCTACCAAGGCATGAAAGAAAACACTCAAAATAGGGAACCACAGAATATGTGTTCAATAATAATTAAAGGATGACCGGGAAAAAGATGAGTGGGAACAGATAATATTGGCATTTCCTCTTGATCACATTTCCTGTGTGCGTGGCTAGCTGGTTTTTGAGTCTCTCGCAAATTAACTTGGTTAGAATAATTTGATTTCATTCCGTCTCTAGCAGTGATTAGAAACTTAAGACAACATCAGTGCCCATGACAATGGAATGCAATGGCAATGCCTGGTCAAACCATGACAGGCTGAGGTTTGCACAGACCTACGATTCTTCCCAACTGCAGCACAGCACTAGGATGGGCCTCTTCCTTTCTTGAAGCTTCAGCTTGTCTAGTCGAAGCAACACTGGTGGTGGAGAGGAAGCATGTGCACACATCCGCACCCCAACTCCCAGCTGACATAAAATGATGCTGCAAATAGGGTCTAATAAAAGCCCGGAGCCCACGGTTCTTCCTACAGCCCTCAGCCAGCACAACATTGGCACAGCAGAGGGTCTTAACAAGCTGCAAGTGAGGACTTTGGGGAACTCTTGAAAAAAAGACACATACAGAGAGATCAAGAAGTGAAAATGAATATATGATGATTTGGTTAGAGGCTACATTTGAACAGGAAAATAGAAGATAGAGCATAATAACTTGAGGGGGGGGTCTCTCAGCACACAGTGAAGGCTTAGATGCACATCAAAAGGGGTTAGTTACCAGCCTGCATGCAGCACACTTCCAGCTGAAGCTCTAGAACTCCCACACCAAGATTATCTAATGGTCCTTACTCTTAGAACCCCCAAAAAGAGTTAAAATGCCAATAAGAGTCTACCGGAAGCATTTTATGACAATAGAGGCATACTGAACACTCTCCAAATAAAGCCACCTGTAACTAAAGCCCCGCAAAGGAGATGGCACTTCTGTTATGCATGTGGCATCGTTACTGCCATCCAGATGTAGAATACAAGATCCCTAGGAGCCCCTACACCCTGTCCCCCAATTTCCACCAGTCCAGTCAGCAGGGACAAGAAGCTGGCTGACTGCGCACCCAAGAAAACAACAGGGGTTCCACAGAGTATGACTTCTTGGCATTGTATGCAAAGCTCTTATCCCTTCCCTCCAGCCCACAGGTCCCCCCAGCAGATGCCATCACTTTAATTTCAAACACCCACAAAAGCTAACTGAAGAGACACCTGGGCATTCAAAATCAGAAATGGAGGCGGGGGCTGTAAAGGGGGGAAAAGGTGAAAGCTGGAGACGTCAAAATCAGAGCCTAGTACTTGTTAAAGACAAAACTAAACAAGCATAGTAGGTTTTAGATTACCCTAGACAGAAGAAGCGGAAAGGGCTGGAAACATTATCATGCCTATAATAGATGGGATGTGGACAATGCAAAGAAAATCTTTCCATAAACATAGCTCTTTTTGAAACTTTGGGGAGAGGCTGGAACTTTTATTGTGCATCGAATGGGGGGGGGGGGGGAGATAACGCAATCAGAGCAATTGCTATTGATTTGGAGTATGGCTAAACTCTTTACCTAATGGCTACTAATGAATGAGACCTTTCTTCAGCTGGCAGAAGGATCTTGCTTAAGCCCAATTTGATTTTCCTAAAGACTCACGTTTCCCACCCCCAGGATAAAGTCCCGAAGGGTTCTTTCTGGAATCAGGAGGGGCCATGAAGTGCCTCGTTTTCCTCTCCAGGCCTCACATCTTCCACCTGTTCCTGAATGATCTGTTGTGGGTATTTTCTACGAGAACTTCTTTGAAATCAAGAGGGAAAACGCTCAGCTCTCAGTAAGTGAGGGGCTGACGATCAGGGGCACAAGAAGAACGAAAAATGAAATTACCACAGGACACTGCCGGTAACCCACACTTTTAACCTGAAAGATTCCTCATTATTCTGCAAACTGACTACAAGATTTAGCCAACTAGGCTTAAGAAGATGCCTTGCACTTCCTTAGCGGCAGAGGTGAGCGTGGAAGGAGATAAGTCAAGTTTGCGCCCCCATCTAAGAAATTCCCACACCCCTCCCCCAGAAGGCTGCACCTGGGTTGATGTGCTAGTTCCAAACTCAGAGCAGGGAACCCACCTGCCTGGTTCTACCCAATTCTCAGGAGCCTGTGACCTGGCACAGCTTACACGTGCCCCAACTCCCCTCTTCCTTACTCCCAGGATCCCTGCCCATCAAGGTGTTATTCTGGGGGAGAAGGGGCTGAAAATCAAACAGTCCCTTAAAGGGAAAACAGGGAGAGCGGGTTGGCATTATATAACAATATACACCAGAAAACGAAAGTCGCCAAAGTAGAGGCAGGGGAAGGCGAGGGGAGCAGGGCATCTGGAAGCCACCACTTACTCGAAGGCGAAGAAGAGTCCACTAGTGACAAGGATGAGGATGAGCGTCAGGTAGAAGACGCCCGTCTGCCGGGCCATCATAATCCTCCCGTTGCAAAAGAACTTGTTTCTCCCCGGGAACACCTCCCATTTCCTCCGGGCCGCGATTTTCTTCTTCTTGTGGGGCGACTCCATCGGGGAGGAGCTGTGGGTGCTGATCTGACTGTACTCGCAGTCTTTCATGGGCCCGCCGCCGCCGGGAGGCATCCACGAGGGCAGCCGGCTGGGGGCGCACACCCCCAGAAGCCCCCCGGCCGTGCGGGTTCCGCCGAGCCACGGCCGCCGCTGGCCACTCGGCCGGCCCCCGAGCCGCGGCGCTGTGACCCCTAAACGGGCTCCCGGCTCAGCGACAACTTTGCCGAGGACACCCAGGTTAACCCCTTGGGGAGCCCAGCTGTCATAGCAGAATCCGCTTTCCGGAGGTACGATGCTAGTCCTCAGCCCGCGGCAGCGGTTCTCCGTGGCTTCCAGCCCGTGGGTCGGGGCTATAGGACCCCGTGGGAGCGCGGGGGACGGTTCAGCACACCCCCAAATCGCGGTGCGCCTGGCCCAGCCGCCAGCAAGCTCCCGGCTGCGCCTTTGCTCCGGCCCGCGGATCCACGATCGCCGCGCCCAGAGGGGACACTAGGCTGCAGACTCCACGCCGGCTCCCTCCAGAGCCACTTCTGCGCCTCGGCCAGGTGGCTTCTACTTCTTCCCGGTGGCGGATCCTCCCAGAGGAGAGCGCTGCAAACTGGGAGGCAGCTCGCGGCACCGGCAACCCCTCCCAGGGGTGGGGACAGCCACGCGCGTTATTCTGTCAGGAGCTGTTCGGTAAGAGCCGGGCGCTGCCCGCACGGCGACCCCGCGTCCACAAGCCGAGCAACCGCGCCGTGTCCGCCGCCCTTTGCACGGGGCTCCCGGCCGAGGGTGGAGGCGGCGGCTCCTGGGGGCTTCCTCGGTTCCTTCTGTCTGGAGGAGCCAGCCCTAGCTCGACGAGGGCCGCCGGAGGGCCGCGGGGACACTGCCACAGACACTTGTTTGCAAGGCTCAGCCCCGGCGCGCGCGCGGCGCTTCGCTCCGAGCAGGTCCGCCTCCTCGCGGCCGGGTGGGCGGCGACGCCCGCGCCTCACAGCCGGGCTCCTCCTTCTGCTCCTCCTTTTCGCCAGCGAAGCCCGGGCACCGGCTCCCCGGGGTCCCTGCCCCAATCCCGTCGGGCCAGAGAGCAGGGCTCGGGAACTGGGCCTGCCTGGCGCACCCAGAGGAAGACGCCTGGCTCCAGGTGACATTCTTAGCCCCAGGAGCGACCGGGTCGTTGCCCTCTGTACTGAGGCGCCATGCGCTCCCCGCGGACTTCGGTCCGCTACAGGCTTCTCCTCCGGACTATTCCAGGCAGCAGCTGCCGCCTCGGGACACGCGCATCCTCACGGCCACTCGCCAAACCATTCTTGCAACTACCAGGAACCTGAGTACCCTCGGCGCGGAGACGTGACCTTCCCTGGCCTGCCCCCAACACGGCCTCTTCCTCCCCAGCGCCACGCGTGGCCGAGATGCTGGGGAAACTCTACTGAGCCCAGAAGAGGGGGTGGAATGCCTGATGACAGAGTGATGAGCAGCGGCCCAGACTTCGGGACCTCGAAGGGCAGGGGACAGAAGAGCGGTCTGTGTCCGCCCCAACAGCGACCGATTGGGTCCTTCTTTCGGATTAAAGGCCCTTTGTGACAGGCTTTGTTTGGCTCGCTGCCTCCCCCACTTCTCATCCTCTACTTTTGCCCACTGATGCTCACAGTGTTCCCGTTTTTCTTCTGTCTCCTTTCCCCTGTGGAGCCCACACACAGTAAAGGGACCGCACGTCTAGAGGATGCTTGGAGTGCGTTTCTCTCCACCCAAGCCTCACAGTCGGGTGGACCAGTGGGCTCAACCCGAGTTCCAGACGCCTACGCGCTTTTGCGCTCCTGGGCTTCGAGGCCGTGTGGGAGCGCTTACTGGGGTTGTGCACTAGGGTAACCAAGAGCAAAAAGGCACTAGGCAGCTGCGCTCGATTTTCCGAGCCCTACTTTCTTTTCGGAGCCCGCTGGGATATGTAGTTCCTTCTCTCGCTGTCCAGCTCTGAGAGGAAACATGACTTGGGACCTGAAACTACAAGTCCCTGCATCCCCTGCGACGAAGGCGGGGGAGGCAAGGTACTGGACGTTCTGGTGCTCACCGTTTGGAGAGCAACAAAGACAGCTTTGGGAAAGGTGCTTTCTCTGTGAGGGTGGGCACCTGCTCACTGCCCGCCTTCGCTGGGCAATCCTCACCACAACCCTGCGATGCACTATTGTACCCAGCTCAAAGAAACTGCTTGCCAAACACTACAAAGCTGTCCAGCGACAGAGATGGCATTGGACCCAGAGCTCAGTTTTTCCCTCACAAAGCGCGCCTCAGTGCACAGTGTCAAAGGGAGATAAGCTTGGCTACCCCGAAGCGGAAAAGAACGCGACCAGATGGGAAGTGGTAGGGATAGAGTGGTACTAAGATAGGTCGTGGTGTCACAAGAAGTTAAAAAGCAAGTGCGATTCTTAGGGGCTGGATAGGGCTTTTTCTTTGTTTAGTGAGTGGATGGGTGTGCTTTCTGAAACAAGTTCTCACTCCTGTAGCATAGGTTGGTCTCCGAGTCCCGATTCTCTGCTTCAGCCTTTTGCATACTGAGATTAGAGACATGTTCCACCAAATCCAGCAAAGGATCTTAAATGGACATTTGGGATTAGCCTTGAATTGTTTGAGACATTTATGACAGAAAATAAACACACTACAGAGGCAACTAAGGGCTTGCTAGCTATGCTATTTAAAAAAAAAAACTTGGCATTTGAAGTAAAAGCTTGTGTTTTTTCCTATCCTTTAACTGATTGTTGTATCTATTGTCTTGGTAAAAGAAAACACCCTCTCTAGGGGTTAGGAGTGTAACTTGGTGGTAGAATACTTGCTCACTCTTATTCTAAACTAAACTGTTTTTTTTTATTATTATTCTTTCTTTCTTTCTTTTGGCATATGGCACTGTTGAAAAGTTCACCCTCTAGGGATGTGTGCTAAAAGTATTTGTGAGCGAGATGACAGAAAGATTAGAATGTGCTTTTTAGACACTCCAGCGCCTCCACCTCCCACACACAAGGAGCCAGAAGGAACAACTCTGGGAACTCTGGGAAAGTGGCGACATGCGATGTTACTGTGTTTCATTAGCCATTGCTGACTGTCACAAACCAGAGGCCTTTCCCACACGTGTACCCCGCAGTCTCTGTGGTTCAGGTATCCGAGTCGATAGTCTTCTGCCCACACCATCAAGGTAGAGCCCAGGTTGTGTTCTCGTGACCTGGAGAAGAATTCACTTCCAAGCTCATTTGGGTTCCTAGCAGAATTCATTTTCATGCTTGTGTAGGGTGCCTCCAACTTCTTGCTGATTGGACCATGGAAACTGTCCCCAGCTCTCAGAGGGCATCTGCAGCTTCTAGAGGTTACCTATAGTTCATTATCAACTTGACGCTTCCCAGAATTCTTAAAGCCAACAAGGAAAGTCTGGCAGCAAGCAGGCTCTATATAAGAGTCAAATGTACATGTTCCCTTAGCCAGAAAGCAAATCACAGGTTGCAAGGGGAAGGGAGCACTCAGGAGGGTGGACACTAGGGTAAGTCTGTCCACCAGAGTATATAAGAGGATCGATCCACTCTTATTCATCATGTGTGCTTATCTTTATATTTGGCATTTCCATATAAAAGGAAGGAATCATTTGTCTTAAAATTATATCTGGGAAAGGGGGTGGAAAGATGACTCAGCAGTTGAGAGCCCTTGCTGCCCGTCTGCTAACTGTACAGTTTTACCATTCACCTCAAGTAAAGCCACCAAGCTGTCACCGTCTTGGCACTCCCTTCCTTGCACTGTTGGTGGTGTCTTGGATGCCAGTGGTCTTTCTCTGTTCTCAGCTGACTTGGTGGACTCTCTAGCAACAAGGGTTGTTAGGTTTCTTTCATCTGAGCAGCTCAAAGCATTTCACAACCCTCCTTATGGGTTCTCAGGATACCTTGAAGCAGCCAACATGGGAGAAGGCCCTGTTCACTGTGCAAAGCAGCATATTCGGGTTCCAGGAGACCTGGCGATTTCCAGTGTGCATCTCTCCGGGCTGGCATGGATGTGCACTCAGGGTGGTCAGGTACCTAAGACAAAGGGAGAGGCCTAGGAGAACGCTGGAAAATTTTGATCTAAACACAAGACCTTTCATTCTGAATAGAATTCTGAAAAAAATTAGACTCCTAATTCTTTCCAGCCCAGAGACTCTGCTCACAATTGTGAACATGCTCAGTCTATCTAGAGACGTTTAGTATCAAAAGGCAAAACGTTTAAAGTTGATACACTCAGCATGTCACAGAAACAAAACAAGGTAAGGCAGGAACTTTTTTAGGTGAAAATTTCTTATAATCTTTTCAGGGACTGGAGAGACGGCTGAGAGGTTTAAGAGCACTGGCTGTTCTTCCAGAAGCTGTGAGGTCGATTTCCAGCAACCACATGGTGGCTCACAAGCAACTGTCATAGAATCTGATGCCCTTTCCTAGCATGCAAGTGTGTATGCAGAGGACTCATGCACAAAATAAAAGTAAATAAAAAACCAAGTTAGATCAAGTGATTTTTTTTGTCCTTTCACCCAAAAAAGCTGCTTTAGTATGTTTATGAAATAATGCTGCACTGTGAAAGCTGGTATGACACATAAATGGAAAGACTATAAACTGGGTGGTGGTGGTGCACATGCCTTTAATCCCAGCAATCGGGAGGCAGAGGCAGGCAGATCTCTGTGAGTTCGAGGCCAGCCTGGTCTACAAGAGCTAGTTCCAGGACAGGCTCTAAAACTACAGCAAAAACCCTGTCTAGGGAAAAAAAAGAATATTAGGTGACTCAAATTTCACCACCATGAAGTAAGAGTCATGAAGATCATTCCATATAATTCATTTTACATACACACATATGTACACAGGCCATTTAGCAAGAAAAATGGAATCATTGCACGCCTGTTGTTTTTATCTTGCATGTTTTCTTATGGAGTGTGTTTGGGTGACTGCATGTGTGTATACATGTGTAGTATGATTAATACAAACCTAGACACAGATATTGGGGTTCAATCTGAAGCTCAAAAAAGTAAAACAGCCAGCCACTGGCTCTTCTATCTACCTCAGTCTGAAATGGCGATTCTGCCTCCAGAAATCTCAGAATAAGACTGTGTGAGATCTGTCTCCTCACGTTCTATAATCCTCTCTAGGGCTGGAATTCAAGGCATGCACCACTACCACCTGGTTTCTATGACAAACTGGTGTGGCTGCTGGAATTAAAGGTGTGTGT